GTGGCCGCCGGCGCGGCCTTCGTGCCCCCCGCCCGGGCCGCCGCCATGGGCCGTGCGCGCCCCGGGGCGCCTTCGCGGGGCCCCTGGGTGCCTCCGTGGCCCCGCTTCTCGGAGCAGGGAGAGGAAGGAAAGCGGTGGTGGGGGAAGGAGGGAGAGAGCGGCGGCCCCGCTGCCCCGCGAGGAGGCCGTGGCTGCGGAGAGCCGGGAGCGGAGCTGGTGGGAGCAGGCAGGCGGCGCCGGCCACCCCCGCGCTCCCGCCGGCCCCGGGGCTGTTGTCTCAGCTCCGCTTAACTTCAGCCGCAGTTTCGAGTGGAGAGACTCGCGGCACCTGGGAGGGCTCCRGCTCCGCTTGAGCCTCCCCTCCCGCCTCCCGCTCCGCCGTCCCGCTGCTCCCCGCCGCGCGGCGGCCGCGTTTTCGCTGCGTGGCTGGGGCAGGCGCTGACTCCCGTCCGGGCCGCAGCACAGCTTGGAAGTGCATTTGCGGCGCCCTGGGCTCGCGCTCACCTGCGGGTGCCTCTGCTGCCCGCGCTGCTTCCCCATCCCCGGGGACACAAGCGGCACRCGCCGCGGTGCCTTACCTCCCACGGGGTGACAACGCAGTGGCCAAAGCCGGCTATTTTTAGCAGCCCCCGAACCGCGGGCTGGCAAGTGCTGCTTCCTTGACGTCGGGGCCGGGAGCCGGCGCTGCTCAGCACCAGCAGCTCAGCGCCGTGTTCGCCCCCCGCGCCGCGCTCGTTTGTTGATGTTTTCCCTTTGCTGCGCGGCAGAATGCGCCTCGCCGTCACATGACGGTCACGGCGGCGCCCGCAGCGAGGCGGCGAGCAGAGGGTGGGCGGCCACAGGTCCCAGAGGGTGCCCAGGCCACCCCGGCTGCCCTTGTGCCCGTCACTGTCCCCCACTGAGCTTCAGCTGGCCCCATCACTAGCCCCGGGGCTCGCGAGCCAGGTCCTACAGGGAGGCTGCCTCCGGAGTGCAGCTGGGTGTCCTCTGCTCCTCACTGCCCTGTGTTCCCCTCCGAAMCGGGAGCTGCTGGGACATCCGAGTGCAGCACAGGCTCCATTGGCTCCGGAATGGGGACGTGCGCTCTGGAATGGGGACGCGGCACGGCGGGGACGCGGCACAGCAGGGATGCAGCGCGGTAGGGACACACACGCATCCTTCTCCTGCAGCCGGAGCACAGGGCATCAGTCAGCAGGGCTTGCTGTGTTGCCCGAGGACTGGATGTGCTGGACGGTGTCCCGTGCCAGCAGTGCTTGTCCCRGGTGTCCCCAGGGAGTGTTAGCGATGGTGGCTGTCCCAGGCCCTCCTCAGGAGCAGCAGCAGGCAGGGACCTGGTGAACAGGGTCTGCCTCTTTGCTGCAGCCTCCTTCCCTGTCTGAAGCTGCATCCAGGTGCTCTGTAACAGCTGGCCATATCCGTACGGAGGGCCACATCCCAGCCCYTGGGCTGGTGAAAGCTGGTGAAAGACCAGGTGGCCACGGGGTCCTGCCCTGTGGTGGTGCTGCTAGAGCCCTCCGAGYGCTCGTGGGTTGTCCCGACCCTCAGTAGCCCTGTCTGGAAGCCGCTGTAGTCCCTCAGAATGAGGGGCGAATTAAGGGCATCGCAGGTGACCAAAGGGGAGCAGCCCTGCTCAGTGCATGGAAACAGCGGCCTTGATAGTGCCCAGGAAGCCGGCTCAAGCCCCCAGGCCTGCAGCCCACCCGGGCTGGCTCTGCCCCGTCTCTGAGGCCGAGCTCCCGTCAGGGGTCTCCTCTCCCTGCCTCCCACACATGGTCCTGTCTCCCGGGACTTCCAGGCTAAAGGCCTGCAGCCTCGCCAGGGATGCGGGGACCCAAGAGAAGGGCGGCCCTGCTCCGAGTGGGAGCTGGCTCAGGCGTGGGAGGCCCTGGGTTGTGCTCGGGCCTTTCCTAAATCTTGTTCATCTCCTGGGTAAGCTCCTGATATCTCTCCCTCCCCCGAGCATCTCCTGCCTGCCCTGGCAGCTGGGGAGGAGGCCGTGGCCACCCTGGCAGTGCAGGCCGCCTTCCCTCGCCTCCGTGTGCGGCTCCCCGTGCTTCCCGGCTCCTATTGCATCAGATTTCAGCGCGCCGCTTTCCCAGCTCCACCTTTCCTCTCCGCTCTCCTCCCAGCTCTTCACCTTACTGCTGCTTGGAGGGCGCCCGGCGGGGCCCTGCGCTCCRTCCTGCTCTGTGTGGAGCCCGGTCTCTGCCCCCTGCCTGCCCCATCCCCCTGGCCAGCACCACTTGCGCCCCTCTTGGTCCGCTTGCTCCTCTGCCAGGGGCTGCCTGCCACAGGGAAACGCTGCTGCGTTGCATTTCAAGCTCCCGGCCCCTGCCACCCCTCTCCTCATAACTTAGTGAGAGGGGGGTGAAAAACAACTTCCTAGCCAGGGACAGGCCGAGGCGGGGTGCCGGCCGCCCCTGCACTGCTGAATCACGGTGAGATGACTTTGCTCCCACCCACGCGAGACTGCTCTGCCGGGGCCATTTGCTCCCCTCGCCAGGATGGCCCCGCGCGCTTGAGTCACCCGAGCTCGGTCCCCAGCGCGGGCAGGGCAGGTGCCTGGCTCCGCTCCGCGTGGCCGGCGGTGCCCGGGGCACACGGGGCACCTGGCAGAGCTCGCACAGGCTTCTCCCCAGCGCTGCTGCTTTTGCTTTCCTTTCAGCGGCGCCGTTTCCTCCCGCCGCCCGGGAGGAAGCCCGGGCCGCCCCGGAGGAGGCCTGGCCTGGCCTGGCTGCCGCGTCCCGCAGCGCGCGGGGCCGTTCGGTGGCTCCGGGGCCCTGGAGCAGGGCAGCTTGGCCCCCTTGGGGCTGCACGGGCGAGGTGCTGCTGAGCCCCAAAAAACGCTCTCTTTTTTTTTCCCCAATCATTATTATTAGGTACCTTTTCAAGGGAAAACAATGAGTCATCTGGCTGCCCAACACCCAGCCCTGTGGCCATTAGGGGCAACCTGCACGGGTGGGTCGGGGGACAGAGGGGCGGCAGCCCGTGCTGGGGCAGGCGGTGGTGGCCGGCGTTCCCCGCGCGTGCCATCACTAACAGGCCTTTCTCCTGGCTCCCGGCAGCGCAGCGCCGGCCCCGGGGCGGACAATGGCCGCAGACGGACTCTCTAGCAAGGCCTTGAAGGTGAGCAGRCGGGCGGGCGGCATGGGTGGGCGCCGCGGGCGGGCGGGCGGGCGGCGCGGCGGGGGTCTCACGCGGGCGCCCCTCTCCCTCGCCGGCAGGTGAAGCGGGAGCTGGGGGAGAACACGCCGCTGCTGTCGGACGAGGAGCTCATGGGGCTGTCGGTGCGCGAGCTCAACCACCACCTGCGGGGCCTCTCCAAGGAGGAGGTGGCGCGGCTGAAGCAGCGCCGGCGGACGCTGAAGAACCGCGGCTACGCRGCCAGCTGCCGCGTGAAGCGCGTCTGCCAGAAGGAAGAGCTGCAGAAGCAGAAGATGGAGCTGGAGTGGGAGGTGGACAAGCTGGCCCGCGAGAACGCCGCCATGCGCCTCGAGCTCGACACGCTGCGCGGCAAGTACGAGGCCCTGCAGGGCTTYGCCCGCACCGTGGCCGCCCACGGGCCCTCCGCCAAGGTGGCCACCGCCAGCGTCATCACCATCGTCAAGTCCGGCGCCAACCAGGCCGCCTACTCCTAGTGCCGGCCCCCGGCGCCTGCCCGGCCGCGGCCCTTGCCCCCACGAGCCGACTCGCAGGTTGCTCCCTCTGCCCGCCCCGACCCCACCACGGCTGCCGGGCCCTGTGGCGCAGGGCCCTGGAGTCCTGGCTGCTCCGCAGGGCCTCGTGTTCACAGCCTCTCCATGCCAGAGCCCTCTGGGYGCCTGGGCACGGCCACCCTGTGCTGGCCGTGGAGGGCGCGGGGCCCTGCTGGGCATCCCGGAGCCTGGCGGTGCCCCTGACCCCTCTCGCCTCCGTGTGCAGCCTCCTGCTGCAGCCTCCCCTGGCCGGGCACCTCTCGCCTGGGTAGGTGCACGTGGCGGAGGAGGATGCTCACGGCAGCAGAGCTGTGGAGGTGTCCCGTGTGCCCAAGCTGGCAGGAAAACCCCCTGCGCCGAGAGGCTGCGGAGAGCCGKGCGCAAAAATGAGAGAAAAAATGAGTGGGAAGAGATTTGCAAAGGGACAAGATGGAGAGGGGGGAATGAGTGCTGAGGTCTGGCTCTGCCAGCCTCGCCACTCGGAGCCACGTTGGCCAGTGCCGTGTGAGCACCTGGGAGAGGTGGCAGCGTGGCCATGGGCGCCCGCTTGGGCCGGCCTCGAGTGTCTGGCACAGAAAGGATCAGAGACAGCGAGTGGCAAGTCACAGGGAGAGAGAACRTGGCCGGGGTGGTGCCTGAGCAAGTGTAAGGGAAGGTGGGGAAGCATCATGGCAGCCTGGGACATGGCAGGCCGGGGGGTGCGGAGGTGCCGGGGAGCAGTGGTGAGGGCAGGGAGGGCCCTGGCGAGGAGAGAGCTGGGCGATGGCGAGTGGGTCACTCCAGGCCTTGTTCCTTCCGCTGGGCTGCTGCTGCAGGGGCGCAGGGACGATGTGAGAGGTGCTCTTTGATCTCTCTCCATCACGCACATCCTTCACTGTTCTTCCTGCACATGGGGATGTGGCAGCCCTGCCAGGCCGGGTGCCTCGGAAACGCAGGGGCGCCCTCAGGAAGGAAAGGCAGGCAGCTGGAGCAGAGATAAACACTATTTGGTTCAGCAGTGACCGGCTGGGACAGCCCTGCGGAGCCGGGCGCATGTTCCCCTCCGCACCCCTGCAGGGAGCCCGGGAAGGGCCTGGAGCGCAGGGAGCAGGAACGGCTGAGGAAGGAGAGGGCTGGAGGTGCTGCAGGGGGTAGCCAGGCTGTGGGCAGGGAGCCACTGTGCCCCCCGGCGCCAYGGGTTTTCCTGCAGCTTGGACACTGGCCTGGGCCGGCCTCTCCTGCCGCGGCCGGGGAGGAGCGGCGCCCGCAAGCGCAGCGACATGGACACGCGGGAGGCGACAGGAGGCAGCCYCTTGCTGCCTCACCCAGGAGCCCGCGCCCCTCTCTGCCCCTCTCTGCCCCTCGTCGATGTGACGCCAGCCCCRCTGGGCTGCAGCCGCCGGGCCTCCCTGCAGAGCGGAGCCCGCCGAGAGGYGCTGCCCCGGCCTGGCGCCCCCGCACCCCGTCCCCGGCTCCTCCCGGGTTTATTTATTGCACGAACATAAGTTATTTTCACGTCCTCTTTGCCATTCCGCCTACTCGGCACAGCCAGGATGTTGGTACAGAGCCGTACTTTATATTTTATATATGCAAATCACATTTTATCTTATACTTATATAGAGCAAAAAAGAAAAAAACACTTATTTATTTTCTGACTTACAGTATGTGTCCTACCTGACTCCTCTGTATTTTGTAGACTTTACAAATAAAGCAAATTCTTTTTTTTTTTTTTCCACAGAGAGAGTGTTTGAATCATTCTTAGGGTTGCGTCTTTGCAAAAAGCAGCACCTGTTCAGACTTAAAAGTTGGGTTTTCACGTTTAGGTTTTTTTTCTTTTACTGCAACATCCAACATGCTGAAATCGTGAGCTCGCATGAAAATCAAGAGTGCCCAGCTGGAAAGATTTCCACGGGGCACAAGAACAGAACGAGCGTAAAAATGGACTGAGGATGTGGCACAGCGCGTGGTTTCTGCAGCTCAGCAGGGATTTATGTTCTTCAGCAGAAAAGGCCTAAGAAAGCAGGTTTAATGCTGAGCCTTRCCTTGGAGGCGCCGGCCTCTAGCCGGGACACCCCAGGACCAAACAGGCRGCTCGGAGCGGGCGCAGCCCCTGCTTCGAAGAGCGAAAGGCCCTGGCCGGTGCCTGGCGGGCACGTCCCGGCTCACGGAGGGGAGGGCAGCGGTGCCTGCAGAGCTGCGCCCGCCCCAGCTGTGCCCATGGTCCGGCCTCCCGCTCCCGTCCAGGGCCCTCCAGGCCRGCAGCAGGTGAGCGGCGCCTTCCCRGCGTTAGAGCCGGGGCCAGYGGGAGCCCCGGGCACCCTCTCTTGCTGGTGGCTGAGCAGCCCCACGCCGAGGCGTTGGCTATCTCGGAGCTGTGGGGTTTCACCCTGGCGCTTCCCTCCTGCCCCGGAGCACATTCCTTCCGGAGCACTTCGGTGGTGCTGCCTCAGCCTCTTCCAAAACAGATGCAGATTTTCCCTGGAAAATTCCCACGAGGCTGCGCTCACGCCGCAGGTAGAGCCAGTGCTGGGATCGCTGCACTCCCCTTCCCGCAGCAGCCCAAGCCACCGCAGCTCTGCCCAGCCCCACGCAGGGCTCCCCTGCCACCCACCTCGCCCAGCCCCTTTGCCCCTGCTCCAACCCACCGCCCACCCCTGCAAAACACAAGAAAGGGGCAACGTGGACTCATGTTTCCATCCTCATGCTGGCTGAAAATGGAAAATCAGCTCAGAGCAGACACCCAGACACCACTACGCAGAGGCGGCCTAAGTACAATCTAAATTCTCTATATATTTTTATTTGTCATCATATTTGCTCATTTCTGCAGAGTATAACGTCACAAAGACCAAAATAGAGAGAGCGGCTTCGCGCTGAGCTCCCGTCAGTTAAACACAATAGGTACAAAACTAGGTGACTCTGTCTTATTTATCATACATTTTTTTTTCAGTCATTTATATACAAAGAACTACTCTACATGGAAAAATAATAAACAAATCCCATGGGTATGTTACATGGTAAACAGAGGAAGGGAAAAGAAGGGAAAAGAAGGGGTGGCAGGTGAGGGGGAGCAGCTCCAAGGGCCGACTCTTGGAGTTGACCCATTTGTTAGGGCCCTGGGCTACTGATGACTGACCTGCAAGACCAGAGGGCACCGTGGCCTTGGCTTCGAGCTCTGGTCCCATCAGGTATTTGTTCCTCCAAGCCAGAGCGGCTACTGAGCCGATCTTTGTTCTGGCACTTGCCTGTCTTGAGGGACAGCAGGAAGCTCAGAGATGATTTTGTGTAGCGTTAAAAAAATATATATAAAATTATAACGTGTGGCAGCTGGCTGTTGTTCAGGTGCTAATCTTCACGGGGCTTCTCTGAAGGTAGCTAGTGCAAAAGGATTATACTTTAAACCACTACATATATGAAGCTTCAAGAATATCCAGATTCTATGCACAATATATGCAGCATACATTTTAAAGTTACTTTTTTAAAATAAAAAAAAAAAAAAAAAATCCAAAAAAACACTTCCCCAAACCTGCATCCTCTTCAAACTCAATGGGATAATCCCAGAGATTTCAGGTCTTAGCTACTCAATGCAGCAAACATCAGGGAGAGTCACCAGTACAGTGACAACGGGACATCATCGAGTTCTGCAGATGCAATAAGAAGGGGGAAGAGGTTGTACCCCATCCCACACTCCCCTAGGAGGCTTGAGAAAGACGGCAGGAAAGCCCATTCAGTTTCCAGTCCTGCTTTCCAGGTGGGTTATGGGATGTGGAAAAAACTGTTTTATACCAAGCCCACAAGAAGGCAGGTAGACAGCATTGGCCCATCCCTATAAGTAGTGACAGATCTAGGAAAAACAGCAACGAAATGCTGGCGTTGCAGGCAAACAAGGAAATCCTGGAGCAAAGAAGCCTTTGGATTCACTGATCCTTTCCCCTGCTTCCTCAGGAGTTGGCACCGATGCTCCCAACCTCTTCACCCACCTCAGGCACACGAGCATGGAAGAAGATGCTGCCCCATGTCCTCCTCACCTTGCCCTGCCTCATCCTCAAAGCACAGAGCAAAGTTGCCCAAAGYTGCCCCACTCTGCTCCTGACCAGAGAGGAAAGCAAGTGGCCTTTGCTCACAGCAGCTTGTGGGACAACGAATGGGCCCACACACAAACCGGGACCCAAGAGGAAAGGTCAGCTCCAAAGAGCCCCGTTCTGGCAGAGGGACCAGGGCCAGCCTGGAAAGAGACAGGTCTGCTGACCACAGAGTGGGCATCGAGCAGCACAGGTCAGTGAAACCGCAGCCAACTGCAGGGGCAATCTCACCTCTCACCCTTTAGTTTTGTCTCCCTGCCTCATTTTAGCCATTTTTAATCATCCAAGAGGTGTTTCTTGCTGCTTRGACAGATCTGCAGAGGGATTGTTTTTAATTTGATTTTGCTAAATATCCAGGAGCTCAACAGTCAAAGCCCATTCAAAGCCCAATATAAATGAGGGCTAAAGCACAGAGCAGCAGCAACTGCTGCCTGCAAAATTATGAGGGACAATTTTAACCAGCCAAATTGTGGCAGGTTTCACATCAGCTCCAGTTTGGGYTGGAACGGAGATAAAAAGCTCGAGGGAGGGAGCAACATCTCCTTCGGAGCACTCCAGCCTCCCAGCGACACYTGTGCAGCTCACTGGGAGGCGGGCAGTGCCGAGCCCGGGCAGGGAAAAACCAAGGGCACGTGCTCCAGCAGCGGGATCCCCAGCTTTAAAGAAGGGCACCTGTACAGGTGGGCTGGCAGGAAACTAGAAGATGGAACATCTTCTTGTTCCCTATCTTCCTTTTCCCCAAAGGACCAAAGGGTCAGAGTTTTACAAACCTAGGGCTGCACTTCTACCACCTACCAGGGCCAATCCTCTGTCCCCTCAGCAGGGGAAAGACGCTCCAGGGAGGCGCCTCACTGAGGAACACAGGGAAGATGAGAAGCTTGGATACCTGGTAATTAGGAAACCTCACACCCTAAGACAGCAATTCCACCCCCACTGAGCTCCAGTGAGCACCAGCTTCAGGCAGGGAACGTGCGTGGGAAGAACCGGAAAAAAATCCTGTCCTTTGCCCTCTCCCTYGAGTACAGGCCTGCACCATCAGGTGCTTTAGGGCTGGCAGGTGTTTCTTATTGACTATTCAAGACATTGGCTACAGAGAGACCCATCTCTGGTCTGGTCCTCGGGGATTCATATCGCTGCATCCTAATCCCATTTCCCAAGGATCACAGTGAAGTCGGGACCAGGGAGCTGGGGAAGCAAGCTGTGCCTACATCAACCAYTCGGAAAGAGGAATACAAAGCAGCCATGTCCAGTTGGAAAGAAAACGTTTTTCGCCACAATTCTGGGCTCGTGTAAGTCACACTCTACACCGAGCTGGGAGGTAACGGGAGGCCAAAGCCCTTTGCTTCAACCAATTCCAGGCAACTGCTGTAAGAAATGGGCTGACAGAGAAGATTTCTGGCCATTCCCCCAACTCCACACTGCTCATCGTGTCCATACCCACAAAAGCTAATGGCAAGTGCCCACTTCTGCAATCTGTACTCTCTAGGAAGTGATATGACTTGCGTATTTCTGCTTCAATAAATTAAAAGGAAAAAAATAGCAAGAGAGGAAAAAATCCAGCCTCCACAGGCTGTTCCCCCTCCTAGAACTCATCGTCAGAGCTCAGCAGGAGGGTCTTCTCATTGTCACGAGCGCCCGAGCAGCTGTGGGAGCGCGAGATGACGTGGCCCCCGTTGCGCCASGGCGGGCCGTGCTCCAGCGTCGACTGCTGGGTGTACTGCTGRTAGGCCGGCGAGAAGTTGTGGATCGCATCCTGGACAATGTCATGAGGGTTCATGGTCTCCTTGAGGCTGCTGGAGATGCTCTTCATGGGAGCGCAGCGACCTGCCGGGGCGAGATGAGGAGGGACACGTGGAGCACACTGCCACCTCGGCCCGCACTCCCTAGCACGGGGGCGAGGGGAGCAGGGCACCCGCACACAGCTCGCCGCAYGACCTCCCTAAGGGCTTGCTCAGGAGACACCACCAGGAGGACCGTGCACAGCTTTGCAACGAACCTGGAACCACGGGCCCAGCCACGGAGAGGCAGGGGAATCCGGGAGCAAAGGGGAGACACGTCGTGCGAGTGAGAGGTGCCCACAGAAGAGCCCTCCGCTGCGCACTGCCTGGGTGCGATGCAGCCACGTGGGGCGGCACTTCTGTAAAGGGCTCCGGAGGGTAAAAACTGAGGAAGCTCTAAAAATACAGGAGAAGTGGCCCTTGCCATTTCCACCCAGTGGATACTAGATTGACAGGCRGTATCAAGGCATCCATGGGAAGAAATGGTTAAAAGGGGAAACAGCATCCAAGAGGGAAAGGAAGGGAACAGGCAGCAGCAGAAGACCTCATGGTGGCTGGAGGGCGTCACAGGGACACAGTGAAGGAGGCAGCTTGCGGGGTCCCACACAGCAGTGCTGCGGGCAGAGCAAGGCTGTGTGAGGAGCTATTGCTCCTGGCCTTTGGAGTCCSATCTCCAGCCTGGCCGCTGGCTCTGCTCTCACCCTGAGGATGAGCTCCCCAGGAAGGCGCCCTGGGCGCCGCTTATTTGTGGCAATTAGGAAAGGGGGAAGGAGGGAGAAGGCGAGCGCGCAAATCGGCTGCTTTCAGACCTTGTGCAATTCTTTGCAGAGAGGAGGTTCACACAGCCCCAGTGTATAAACACTCTGACACCAGGTTATGGCACTGCCCAAGCGCCTGCTTTACACCTTGCGCTCCAGAGGCCCTAGAGCAGCTGGTGAGGCAGTCAAGTCACAGCCTGCGGGGAAGGGAGAACAAGGGGCAGAGCAGGTGGTCGGCAGGCTGGGAACAAGGACAGGAGAGCATCCTAGTGGACACCAAACGAGACAAACACAGAGCATGCTGCACCTACCGTATGGCCCGTATGATGGAACGGCTGCATCAGGGAGCAAGGCAGAGAAAAGAGGAAGAGCAGGGAAAGAGAGAGAAAGAGAGAAAGAGAGAGAGGAAATAAGAACAGAACAAGACCCAGCACCAAAAGCTCCCCAGTTGTGTTGGCCAACAGCTTGCACCGCCATCACACACAGACGTCACCCCCGCTAGGTGCRGCCACTATCTTGCCCTTCCAGAAACTCCAGGGCTCTCTGGGATGGAGGGATCATCCCCAAGAACACTGTTCAAAGGCAGCAGTCTTCTCACAGCACGATCCCCTCTCCCTCCCCAATGGAAAGGGACCCCTTGTCTGGAGAACACCAAATGAAATGGCACAGACTGGGCACAGAAACATCCAGTTTCCCAGAAGTAACTTCCTGCAATGACTGTGTAGACAGAGGGACTGGGAAGAGGGAGGTGGAAGATCCTACTCCCCCAGACCAAACACATTGCCAAAGAATGGCCTCATCTCCCTGACCTCGAGTCAAAACAGGACCTGCTTCAGGCCCTGTCCCTTYTTCCTTCGGTCTGTTGCACAACCCGGAGCCATGGAGTTCCCCTCTGGGGAGACAGGAAGGACAAGCCCACTCTACCCAAAAGCAGCGACGTCTCGCAGCCCCGAGGTCTGCAACAAGCCACCGTGGGCGGCACGCTACGGAACTGAAAAGGGAACGGCGCAATTCAGGCCAGGCCTGCAGAGCCCTTGCACAACGCGGCGGTTCGGGCGCCACGGAGCAAGGGAAGCTCCGTTTTTCCAGGCGCCCAGCGTGACAGTCCTATCGGCTGCTCCAGGGCCCCACCGTCACCCAGCCCCGCTGCCCCACCGAGGCGGCACCTCGGAGGYGTGGGAGCGTGGCCCACCTTGCGCGTCGAGCCTCTTGTCGGCGTACGCGCGGTAGGTGAAGGCATGGCGCAGGGCGACGGCCGCGAAGAACATCTCCACGCAGATGATGAAGTCCTGGTAGCCGGCGGCGACGGTGCCCTCGCCCACCGACACGGTGGCCGAGTGGATTTTGGGGATGGCGCCGCACTTCTCCAGGATGGCCAGGAGCATCCCTGAACAGAGCGACAGGTTTAYGTGGAAGGGCAGAGAACACGCTTGCATACCGAGTCCCAGCAATGGAAATGGCCACTCCCGTGTATTCCTGGGATTCCGGTGTATTCCTGGGATTCCTGTGTATTCCTGGGTGCACGGCCATTTAACACAGAAAGTACAAACAGGGCTGGCTGGATAACCCCCACTTACACTAACCTGCACTACAGACAGAGGAGAAATAAGCTGAACAAATACATTCAAGCAAAGAATGTTCAAATATTGACTCTTTTCTATGATCTATGGAAGCAGCTGCTGCTACAGGAAGCAATCAGGTCGAGAAGGGTAAAAAGCAGCCAGATATTTCTGTGAGTGATCTCAGCCCCTCCATTAGAGCTAGAGCAAAACACGGAGATAACAGAGCTTTTCATTTTACACATCAATTTTATGGCACACGCTTGCAAAATATTCCTCCCTGTTCACAACCAGGTGGCTGAGGAACTGCAGAGAAGGCAGAGAGCACGAGACCAGATGGCTCAAGATGATAAACTGGATGGTTTATGAGCTTGCCCGTACGTAAGGAGGATGGGCCATACTCCAGCTGCCTGAACTYCACCTAAGGTCCGGCTTTATTAGTCTTTGAAGTGTAACTCAGTAAGTCTAAGTGGAGCATTGGACAGGGAAATGCTCAGAGCCTACTAATAAGAAACACTAAGCTTAGATGGAGTTTCAGCTTTCCGAATATGCCTCTGTTTGCATCTTGATGTGCATATTTGAACACACTTTGGCTCAGCAGTGCTTCTGTGGCAGCACAGTGTGCTTTCCACTACAGTGACGCTTCACAGGGAACACAGATGGGTGATTAATATTTGGTTTGTAGAGCTCTAAAGAAAATCTTAAAAAAATAGTCCGATGTGCCACTTTAATCAATACAACGACAGCATGCAGACAAGATCTTGGCAGCTTAGGCTTCAGGATTGCTTCAGGAATGCAAAGGGCTCCTCAGACTAGCAGCTGATTTGGCCAGGCAGCTGTGTGCATGTACATGCACGCAGAGGGACACCGAGGAGCAGAGAAACAAAGATACCAGTGAGTGAAACAAAGCTCTCCCAGAGAAAAGCAACCCGAGACTATAACCAAACAGATTAAAAACAAAAATACAAACCCAGAAAGACAGAAGAGCTATTAATTAGCAGCTGCTCCACCACTTCTAACACGTGAGCCCCTGCAGAGCCTACCTTTGTGCCTGCAGAGGGAAGGGGAGGGCAGCTCACCTTGCCAGAAGGACAGGAAGATGACCGACTTCACCATGAAGAACTTGAGGACCGGGCTATAGGGGCTGAGCAGCTCGCGGGTGGCAAAGTAGAAAAGGAAGAGGGCGTAGAGCGCCAGGCTCACGGAGATGTTGTAGATGATGGTCACGTAGAGGTAGCCACTGGTTACGCTGAAGCGAGAGGAGAGAGRAACGCCTGGAAGCTCAGACCCCAGCTTTCTCCTTGCCTCTCCCACTGGGGAATAACAAGCCTCCCCTTCCTTCTCGTCTCCCTGTTCTGCTCMGTCCCCAAAACTGAGGTTAAAAATAAAAAGGAAATAGCAGGTTTACCCCCCTGCGCGCTTTTCTCACGTACTCACACTCAGCCYGTGAGCCCCACCACCCCTTCCCACGGCTCGGCCTGCACACAGACAGCAGGCAGAGCGGGGCAGAGAGGAAGGCGACCGACCCCTGCGCAAACTTACTCGAAGTCTCCGTCCTGGTACTTGCCGAAGGCCTGAAGGATGACCGTGCTGATGGCCATGAGGGGCTTCACCACGCAGAACTGCAGGGTAGCCTACAGGGGTGAGAGAGGACGCAATGAGAAGGCAGCAGGCACAAGGGCCAAAGTCCCAAATGAGCACCCAACGGGGCAACCCACACTAGCCCCACCAAGGAGTCCAGCCCTGCTGCTTGCCAGACGTTGCCCTGGAAGGCTGCAGCTCCCAACGGCAAACGGAGATGCCAAGGAAGCACGTGTGCTGCCCAGGACAGGAGGAAAAGCCTCTGCTGAACAGGCTGTAACCAGGAGCTACTCAGCTGCTCTCTGCTGTTTCACAGGCTGCTGCAACTCGTTTACACCTGGTAGTTGCATGAAAAAGTCCTACATTGTACTATGGCACATCACCAACTTCCTGGGCTGTACCTCATTCAGAAGGGAAGCAAACTCCAATCCACACTTTCTACAAAGCCAGGCTCTCATCCATTCCCCTGGATGTCAGAGGAAGTCAGCTCTGTCAGGTGAAACTTTGACAACTCGCAGCATATTAAGGAGTATCATAATAAATACTGTAATGTGTGCTGCCAGACAGAGCTATCCTGTGTCACTAAARTCATCTTTACTGAATCTCTCTAAAGGCTCCGGAGAACTTGCAATCAGCTCTATCCACTCTGCCAGTAGATACTATGGGTATAAACCACTGCTCCTATCAGCTTTCCTTCTCTCTCAAAGCCATCCCAGGTTCCATCTTCCTGGAGAAAAGGGAAGCCAAATKTCAAAGCCCTAAGAGAGCAAAGGGTGGCAAGCCCAGTGCCACCCTTGCCTCTCTGAAGGAGGCCAGAAGGGGCYGGCCAGGTGCTGACCTGCATGCTTGTGGGCAGGGCCATGCATGGAAAGAAGGCAAGGAGGAATAATTGCCCCGGACACGATGCAATTTGTTAGTGGTCATAAGACTTCAAGGAGATTAAAAACCCCTGCACAGGCCAGTTAGTGAGTCACTGTGAAGATGTGAACTGGAAAAGGTCAAGCTGATGGGTAAACAACTCTGTCCTCTGAGCTTCCCCTCCTTCCAATGTGAGTGAGGACACTTTAACCATTTCCCTGCAAGCCAAACCACCACGTTATTTTTAGTCTCTTGCCCTGAGAAGATGCTAAGGCATAAGGGAAGCACATGGATGGTGTGTGACCCATCTGTGATGATCACCAGACATGGAAGCAGCAAAGAGGCTCCAAGTGTTTCTAGTCTTCGCTCTCGTGAAAACTTGTGCAGACAGAGCCAAGTGCAGCCAGTATGAGGATACTTGGCAGAGGCTCTGGGACATCCGAAACAAAAGGTCTAAGGCAATTTATTTCTCTAGGAGTTGTTCACCTTGATGGGATGTTATGTCTACTCATGACATTTTTAAAAGGTCAGTATTAAAATTAGGTTCTTGAAGAAYAGCTAATGCTAATGGAATCAAAAATGGGGCATATGAATGAAGCCCAAAAGAAACAGAAGTGTATTTGGAGTCACTTCAGAAATAAAGTATCAGTGAAGAAAAATGGACAGCCCTGAGGGCAAGATTATGGGTCAGGGACAAACAGAAGGCAGAGAAGAAAGACTGTCCTTTGAAAAAAGGTCAGTCATTCCATACAGTTTAACGCTGGGTATTACAAAGAGGCTGCACTGTAACCTCGACATTCCTGCATATTCCAAAAGACAGGAGATGAGGTATGATGTGGAAGAGAAGGCAGAGCAGACAGGTGGACCCAGTGACTGGAAATACAATGAATGGAGCCCTTTCCAAGGACCAAACCTGCCTCATGCTGCCTCCAGAAAAAAAGAAAACTCATTCTCCTTTCAGGAGCTGAACAAAACCTCCTCACTCACCTCTATTTCACGGCAACCAGGGTTGCCTGAACTCCCAGGGGGAACAGATTAGGGCTGCTCTGGGGTTCAGATCTGTCTCCTTCCCTCCCCCTCAACACACCCAGTGCAGCAGGCAGACACACACACACACACACACACACAGAGTGAGCAATCCTCGGTTCCTCCTACAAAACGTTGTGTCACGCTTACTCTCCACCCCCTGCTCCACTCCTAACCACAACAGCAGCGCTGGGAATTCAGGAGGCTGTTGCACAAGCAGGGTCTCTGCAACAAACAGAGGTCTCAATTTCCAGAAGTTGAGAACCTTTGTATTCCTGAAAGGGAAGAGGAAACCAGAAGCTCTTCCCAGGGTGAATATCAGACCCAGGAGAGAAACTGGGCCTATTGCCAGGTCCTTCTGCTTCAGGAGCAGGCAGAAAAAAATAAGACCATAAAAAATAAGAAGTTGTCTCCTCAGTTCACAGGCTGCTCTCAAAGCAATACTATAAAGCTGCTCAAACCAACCCTCTTCTCAAGAGCTCAGCAGGAAAAGCCACCACTGCCACCTCCCGCCTGCCCCTTGTTTCTGGAGGAGAGCAGAATTCCTTCAGCCCATACCTGCTTRCAGAACCTCAGGAATCCAATAGAATAGGTCTTTCCCCACAGGCAGCAAGTCCCGTACACACAGCTGGACCTGAAAGAGCCAACACAAGATGACCATGTTCAGAGACAAGATGYGGGCTACAGCTCGTCTACCCCTGCATAACAGGGCTGCAGGATTGTTGCTTCCGCCAGCCACATTACAGTTATGGTCTTTCAGATGTTTAAAACAACATCTGGGCTGCACATAACAAACTCCTTTTTTAAACTAATATGGAAACATCAAACCTGGAGGAAGCACACACACAATCAACATCCACTGAGGGCAGAAACGACTTAGAGGAGGAGGGAAAAGGAAAAGAAACAAAGGAGGAGGCAGGTGGCCCGAAAGGCTGTGAATCAGTCCAGCTTGCCTAAGAGGATGTGATCAGTCTGACCTGCCTCGGAGCAGGATGTTGGTAAATCGCCACCAACCATCTTGCCCAGTTCCAGCAGACACTTGCCACCTGACACAGATTTTGAGAGGCAGGGACAGGGGCATGGTAGACAGTCACAGACGGGTGAGAGTCATGCTGCAAGAAGGATAAATACTCACTCGATTGGTTTCCCTCTGATCTCCGACATGATGGAGCTCTCCCCTCCCAGGTACTCGTAGCAGAGGCTGAGAAAGTTGTATATTACAAAGGCTGCAAAGACATCAAGCAGAGCAAAAATGACAACCAACTTTGAAACAGGTGGAGGGATCCAGAGCGCAGGCAGCAGAGCAAGCRTCAGCAGGGCCTGCTCAGGCAGCCTTTGGCCTTCCAAAGCACTCCGGAGTGTTTTCACTGCATGTGCCTCCCTACCTCAGCATTTACAAGCCTATCTTAAGTGGAGCTTGGCCAAGGTCCCAGGCTAATTCCGCTTTTCAGGCCAAAAGCGTCACGGGACCATTTTCGACTGTGGCCCGTCTCCGTTTGACTTGGCATCTGGAAAATGTCATCCTGTAGAGYGCTCCTGTACATTATTCCACGACATTAAACTGATACTAACTCAGATGGAAAATAAAAAAAAAAAAGCCTTCTTTGATCTGTCTGCCACATCTTATTGAGTCCTGCACCCCTTTGAGGCAGTGAGCACTGACTCTGCAGCGATGGGCCTGCAAATTTAGGTCTTGGAGAGACAGAGGGGCTCTGCCCATCACAGAAGCTCTGTTTTTATGTGTGGKGGTGATTTTGGAAAAGCAGTCCCCGAGTTTCCTTTCCTCAGAAAGGTGGAAGTTCCTGCACACTGAGCAGCCGCTCTGCCTTGCACAGCACCTTGATGCAGATGAGGAAAGGCCTTCGCAGACGGGCTGCTAATATTCTGCCCCCATGGCCACTCTATTTGAGGCTCAGCTTTGCCAATACGYAGTGAGGTGAACACACTGTGAGGATGGCTCTTACCATAGCTGGAGACACATTTCCTTCTCAAGGCCCCCAAACCCACTTAACAGTGCATGGATGTAGCAGGTAGGAGCCCTGTCTGCCACCCCCTTGGCTTGTTGTACTTGTTGCTGGACCCTGATACAGCTGCAAGATTTCTAGGGCAAGGACTGTATTCCTAAGTGTCCACATAGAGCCCTGAGGCAGAATGCTGGACTAGGCAGCCACCTGAGGGCTCTTCCAAATGTATTCTCCGTGATAGCTGATTGCTGAAGTTCCCTGGCATCTCACTACGCCATCCTGGTTTGCTCCCTGGCACTGCCMCGACGATGAGGTCTGGTAACTTGAGGTGCAAACGTCAGTCTCAGGGAATTCTGAACTAAGAAAAGGAGCCTGACAAGCCGGCCTCGCTGGACAGCTCATTATTAGACCTGGGCTCAATTCTCCCACGTGGATGAAGCGCCCCAGTCACAGACAGACACCAGCTTTAATTTGCTGTCCAAGCATCCAAACTATGCCCTAGAAAAGAGGTGCTCAGCACTGCCCCAAATGCTCCAAGTCTCCTAACAGCCTATTAATGGCTTCTGGACGTGCCTCGCCACCGAGAAGGCTCCAGCGCATAAAAGGCTGCAGTGTATCTGCTTCTCTTTATGTAATTGGGATATTGTTATTCTGCCTGTAATCCTTGTTATTGAACAGAGTTAAGTATGTTCACACTACGTGATTCCGTGAAAGCCTTAATTAGGAAACACCAAACATGGAAAAGCTATTTAAATTACTGTGGTAACCTCTCTGGCCTGCAGTTTTCCAGCAAGCTCTTTTAACAGCGTGCTGGTAGCTCCGAGCACCTCGAGGCAGAAAAGCCGAGTTTTTCCTCCTATCCTCCAGTGACCCCTGCTCTCTGCTGCGGTCACTGCAGCRCCAGGCGCCTGTTCCCACTGCACCGAGGGGAGAGGTGACATCAGGGAAGGAAACAAACGAGCAAAAAAGGGAAGAATCAAAAGGGGGGCGATGGGCACACACATCTGCTCCTGACATCTCCAAAATAAACAAGTGCAAAGTAAACGAGTRCAAATATTAAAGCTACCTGCACCAGCAGAGCAGCTCCTCTCCTCCTTGCTGATCCTCCCATTGCTGATCTGCATTCACCAGATGTGCTCATGACACGAGCACAGTGAATCTACTCGCGTCAGCTACTGGCACCAGGTTTCACAGAGCCACGTGAAAGAGCAGCAGCAAAACACGCACCTCCCAACGCCGCCCCAAACGCCTGAAACTCTTGCCAGGGCCGAGCTCTGCAGAGCGGGGGCTTCCTGCCCGCCCCGCACACACGGGCAGGGTGCGGAGCGGGGGGAAAACACCAGGCCCCGAGCGGCCTCCCGAGGCACCCGCGCGCCTGCCGCTGTCTCTCCAGGCGCTGCCCGCACGGGACGCGGGGGCTGCTGCGCCCCCGAGCACACTGACCACGTCCCCACGGGCAGGAGCACYGCTCTGCAACGGGGATCTCTCCAAAACAGCTGCACAAACAGGACAGCTTAAGGGAGATACTGTGGGGAGGAGGCAGAAACTCTCCTCGATGCGCACTGCCGGAGCGCAATTCCTCCTGCCTGGTGGCTGCACGGCTCCTTTCTGGATGGGATCAGAAGGGAAGTTTCAATAGTGTTTACTGGAGAGCAACTGTTTTTCCTCATCCAAAATGTTAGCAATATCCTCTCTGGCAGGTAACCAAGAGCAGCAATGAATAACTCATCCTGAACACAGCACCCTCAGTGCTGCAAAGCACTCGGTGCATCAACGGCGTTAACGCACGATGGCCGTTCGGTGGGATCAAATGGTTCTGCACTGATAAACTGCACTGGGAAAGCAGTAGCCAGAGGCTTGCTCTGTCCCACAAGTGCTGTTCCAAAAGCCAGGAGCCAACCAATTGCTTTCAATAGCCAAGCAGAATCCAATTTTTGGCTTTATACTTTCCTGAAACTGAGGTCCCCCCAGAAATCCTAAATGTTGTTTCTAGAGGGCATAGGAATGGAGGCTCAACAATCCTGTACTCAGAGGTCATTAAAAGAGAGAGGGTCATCTCTGAGAAAGCCAGTCAGCCACACGGCAACACTTCATTTCAGTGCAGGAGAGAGAGGCTTTCACCACGTCCCCACACTCGGGGACAAAACACCTCTCGCTCTCCCCTAGCAGACTGCTCCCACCTCTCCCATCTGCCTGGCCACGCTCACCTTCATAGCAGTCCCGTATCGTGCCGAAGTACACGTAGTACTGGTCGTTGGTGAAGAAGAGGAGGCTGAGCCACGAGTCGAAGGCGTAAATGGGCACTATGAAGAGGATGCGAACGATGTAGCGCTGCTCGTTGGGACAGCTGTAGCAGCGGAGGTGCATGTAGATCTGGGAGCAAGGGAAAAGGAYGGACAACATCAGTGGCACAGTGAGCAGATGGGACGTAGTGGGGCCAGAGGGTCAACGCAAATAGGAAAAASAGTCTCTTCACTCCATCAGGTCTCAATTTCCTCCACAAGCCTCAAGGTGATAAGCATCAAATCTCRCTGTTATCTTTTGGCACCCACACAGCATTGTTTAGTTTGCAGGGAGAAAGTGGAGAACAAGGAAGCGGAGGCATTGCTAACCCAGCTTCTCACAGGCAGTTAATTTACTGCCATTACCATCATCACCTTCCTCACACTCTCTTATTCATACTCACTTCTTCCTAGCATCAGCCCTGAATTTCTGCTATGCTGTTTTAAACAGCAAAGATTCCCGACACCGCAGGCTCTTTTTCATATCACAGCAAAGGACCACGCACTCACGTGCTTACGTTCACCCTAAACACTCCCCAGGCAGCTTCCAACACTTTCTAGACATTCACCTCCAACAACCTAGAGGAGAGCCTCGCTGTTTCTAAGAGCTGAGAAGCTAAGGCCTCTCTCAGCTCAAAACCCAAGGCGTCCACGCCCGGTGCCAGGCACGGAGCATCAGCCCCAGGGAGCAGCACGCGGGTGCTCGGGGCTGTGCTCGAGGAGCGATGCGGCCGCTCTGCCCAGCTGCCCCCGTGCACGCCGGGCTGAGGGGAGCACAAGGCGCCTCCCACCCTCCCAAGCTGCTTATCCTTTATTAAACCCCCCACCTAAGATGCTTTCTAACAGCAGATCTGCCTSCTGGGCAGGTTATGAGCACAGCCTGAACGCAAACTGCTCCTGTTCATGGCCTAAAGAGGCCATGACAGCACCAACCAGAGCAGCAGGAGAGCTCTGGCTGACCAGAAATGGGGTCCTCAGGGCCGAAGTCTCCCAAGAGCAGCCTAAGCAAGGCTGGAATTGGCAGCACCTGGTTTATTACTGTCTGACACGGCCCAACCTCCAACTGAAGCTTCACCTTGCACCTGGAGCACTGTGGAGGTGCTCTGGGGTCCAACAGAGCACACGTACGTCGGTGCTCTCACCTTCTCCTGCTGAAGCAGGGGGTTGTCTCTACCCAGCTCCCTGCCTCCATCTCTCCCTGCTTCCTTGGCCAGGTTGCTTCAGAATCAACTAAAGGGCTCAAAACATTTGTCTGTTCTGCCCAACACAAGAGGAAGTCACAAAAGCTTCATTCCATGACAGAACAGTTGGGAATAAACTAATAAATCTCAGCAGTTTCTTTTCCCTGTAACAGTCGCAGGCACCCAGCTCACCCAGCACAGGGACAGTTGACACCAGGGCTCCAACGACTCGGCCCTTCACCCTGCGCATGTCCCACAAGCCCTGCAATCCACGGGCCCCAGAGAGCTTCTAGGGCAGGAGCTGCTGCCTTCTAACAGGGCTACAGCACCTTCCCACCAAGGCTGCCTCTCCGGCACCGCTCCCGGGGCTTCCTCAGGGAAAGGCCCTAACGCCTCGCTGTGCGATGCTGYCTGCATGGGAAGGGCTCCTCCTGGCCTCCTGTCCACAGCAGGTGAGCCGTTTGGGCTCTGGAACTGCAGCATCGAGGACACTTGGAATTGTTACCCAAGCTGCTCTAAGCGCAGGTGTCACTCTTACTCATCAGTGACTAATCCACTTCTGAACTTCGCTGGCCCCCGTGCTCCACCAAAGGGCTGTCGTTTTCTCAGTGTTAGTCACCACTCTGGAATCCATTTGACCCACAAGCACTAAACACAGGTTGATAAATACCAGGGCTCGCGTTTCCCCACGGTGCTCCTCTGTTCACATGACARGCGCATGAGGAAGAGGTGCAGAACAGGATGCAGGGTTTGACTTGTTCTGGCTCCCAGAAAGAGGGGAGGGGAGAAAAATTAAATTAAAACGTTTCCTGCTGCTCCTTTCCGCAGCAGTTCAGCCCGTGGAATCCACTGGCACACAAGATCAAAGCAGGAATGCCAAAGGACAGCTGACCTCCATCATTTAGCTAGCAGTTGACACAGTAACAAAACAGCAAGGTGCAGCAAGACTTGGGAAAAAAAACGGCTCCAGATAAAGCACCCTTCTACAAATGCTCAAGAGATGACCAAGTGTTTTATACCCACTCACTTTAAAGATCTTGCTTCCTCTCCAGTCAGACTAAGAAACTGAACCAAGGTAAAAAAGGCTCTCAGTAAAATGTTGCCAAATTTCATCAGCACAGATGATATGTGAGGCCTCRGAGAAGAGGTTTCATTCCTACTCCAGAGTCTGCCAACCTCCCTCTCACACTGCTGTGACGCATGCCAGGGTGTCATCCCTATACTCCCACGTAGGGAAAGGGAGATGATGGGCCACAGCTCCATGGTTTTACCTGATGGCAGGTGATGAGCAAAGCTGTCCACACGAAGACACCTGAGATGGCCTGGGCCGCGGTGGTCATGAGGAATATGGGCTGCTCCACAGCGGTGGGTCTGCCATCCTCCGGCATCCAGGAGAAGTTGGGAGCCACGGCTGCAGGGGTGGCAGTGGAGCCCAGCCTGGGCGCTGCGGTGATGTCGGTCATCACGATCATGGTGCTTCTTCGTGGGAGGCTCTACGAGGGCAGCCAAAACCTGGTGAGGAAGAGAAGCAAAGAAAGGGACTGAAATCACCTGCAAGGACCCAAACGCACAGCAGCAAGATGCCTTTCACCTGACTGTTCAAGTGCTTTACACACAGCAGCTGGAGCAGACTGCTGCCACCCCGCCGTGCTGCACAACTGCTGGGGGCTAATTTAGAAGATAATCGTTACATTTWGCTCTTTTCTTCCAAGTCATTTTCCAAGATATCCCTGCTGTGAGTTACAGCTTTTCTAGTGCATGAGGGCAATTCCTCTCCAGTCCCGACTGGAGGAGGACACGTAGCCACCAGGTTTTGTGTTTCAGAGCACACACACAGAGCCTAGATAGCCCCTGTAGGSTACCCTTGGCAGAGGTCTGCAGAGCTGAAGGCTGGACGGAGAAGGTCATGGGGCTTCTGCTGCTTTGAGAAGGAAGGGATTTTTCCCCAGGTGAATTCTGCGGGGGACTCGGTGCTCACACGCGGCGCTGACGGGGCTTCCTATGAGCTGAGGAAGGGCACATCTACCCTGCACTCAGGGCAGCWGCACCTGCGGTTAGCCTGGCTCTAGGCAAAGCCCTGGCCCGCGCAGGAGCAACGGCTGCCCAGCCCTCCCTTAGGGTACAGCGGACAAGACCTCGCCAGGCAGCAGGAGCAGGGCCCGCAGCCCCATTCTCCAGCTCATCCAACTGCACTGAGGCCCAACTGCAGCACCAGCAACTCAGCAGAACCGGCCGGGAGGAAGCGAAACCCTTTTCTGCGCCCRTCCCTCACAGAAGAAACTGAAACAGAAACAAACCCTGTGGTTTAAGGTTTAAAGGGTTAAGCGTCCAGAGGCAAGGACGCTTGGTTCCCACTGCACACACAGCCTTACTGCTGCCCCCTTGTGATTAAACACCTGCGGCCTTTAATTAAACCATTATGCACCATTTCGCAGCTACCCCCCTTTAAGTCACAGGGTCACTGAAACTAGTAATTCTTTCCAGTCCTCATGCGACTACCAGAGAAAAGGGTTTTGTTGGGGATGGGAACAAGGTAGGAGATATAAACATAAGCAGGGGAGATGAGTGGTCTACAGTGTTACATGGGGATTCGAGCTAGGAAGGACACAGATTAAGAGCAGGGGAGGGAAGTAAGGAAGGGACACCCAGCTTGGCCTTCAGCCAARTTCACTCCATGTTCTCATCTGCAGAAAACAGGACTGCTTCTCCCGATGATGCCACCTGTGTTAAAACCTCGTGTGAAACTGCAGCTGTGGCCAGGGGAGGGTTTTGACGGGGCTTCCCCACAACCCTCCCGGCTGCCGCTTTCCACACGCGGCAGCGCGGTCCCCAGCCCGAGAACGTSGGCTCTTGACATCAGAGCAGTCAAGCACTGCCTGAAAAGGCCAGAATAAATACTCACCAGCAAAASAGGCGATGAATTAAGCAACAGCAGAACACTAGGAAGCACGCAGGCCACCAAAGCACGCGGCTCGTTTGGCAGCTGCGAGGGGAGCAGCTCGCGCTGTCCTGTCCTGCTCAGCACGGCGGGAGGCAACACGGGGCCCTGGCTCTTCACAAGCACTGTACGCCAGCCCAGGGACCCCTTCGAGCTCCTTGAGACACGAGCATCGTTACGAAGAAGGCACAAACTCGCCGTGAGGTGCTACTGCGTGCTACCCTATACTGTATTTAAGACATAAATAACAGTTGAGGTCAGAGCAGCCTTAAATAAGTCGGGGGATTTCAGCTTATTCACTATGACCAGCTCACTCCATTGGCTCCCTTCTTTCCTTCACAAAGGACAGCACCATGAGGCCAGGCTTTGGCAGATCCCTTGGCACMCCGTGTTGCCAGACGCATCTCCACCGTTGTACAACGGGACTCGAGCCAGCACAACATCAGGAATGGGTTTTCAGAAAACGTGGTGCCTGCCTGGGGCAGGTCAAGCAAGCACTGAGTATGGACACACTGAGTAGCCTTGGTCTGAGCAGTTTCCCTCATATGTGATCCAGCGGGTTGGGTGTTTTCATTGAATCCTTAAAGTTGGAAGGGACCTCCAGAGGTCATCTAGTCCAAACCCCCTGCTCATGCAAGGTCACCTAGAGCACATGGCACAGGGCGGCATCCAAGCGAGTCTGGAAGATCTCCAGAGAAGGAACCTCCACAACCTCTCTGGGCAGCCTGTTCCAGGGCTCTGCATCCTCACTGTCAAGGAATTTTTCCTTAAGTTCCTGTGGAACTTTTGGTGCCTCAGCTTGTGGCCGTTTCCTCTAGTCCTATCCCTGCCCACCACTGAAAAGAGGCCGCCCCCTCCTCCTCACTGCCTCCCTTGAGGTATTTATASACRCTGATCAGGTYCCCCCTCAGCCTCCTCTTCTCCAGGCTGAACAGACCCAGCTCCCTCAGCCTTTGCTCATAGGGCAGATGTTCCAGGCCCCTGATCATCCTGGTAGCCCTGCGCTGGACTCTCTCCAGTAGCTCCACATCCCTCTTGTACTGGGGAGCCCAGAACTGGACACAGTCTCCAGATGTGGCCTCACCAGGGCTGAGTAGAGGGGGATGATCACCTCCCTCAACCTGTTAGAGACGCTCTTCTTAATGCACCCCAGGATCCCGTTGGCCTTCTTGGCCACCAGGGCACACTGCTGCCTCATGGTCAACTTGTCGTCCACCATGACACCCAGGTCCCTCTCTGCAGGGCTGCTCTCCAGCAGGTCAACACCTAATCTGTACTGGTGTCCGGGGTTATTCCTCCCCAGCTGTAGGACCCTGCACTTGCCCTCATTGAACTTCACAAGTTTTGGGGAGTTTTTATTCACTAGTTTCCATTTTCAGGAGTCCTCGAGACCTACAGTCTCCTCATCAACTCGCACACTGCAAAGACACCACACACCAGGCTGGGGCACACGGAGCGCTGTGCCCAACAGGCACCTTCCCACCTCGCGTCACAGCCAGGGAAAGGGGCCTCGCCRACCTCCCGAAAGCTCTCCCATCCTGCTCCAAGTCTTCTTTTCCTCCCCTTTGCTACCACAACCCTCGGCCTCCAGCGGCGAGGCTGCCGGCCGCCCTCTCCCTTGCCGGGGGCTCCTCCTGCCCGCCCGCCTTGGCCTCTCCTTTCTCTCACCTTTTAAGCTCTTGGGACCGTCACCTTCTTGCTCTCTGCCTGCTGTGTGGCACCAGCCCACAGCACTTCCCATGGCCGTGCAGCAAATCAGGGGCATGTGGAAATCTAAACTCCTAACGCTGTGCAAAATAACCAATTTAACACATATGTTTTGAAGAGCTCCTTATTCTCCCAGGCACATCCCGTTTCTCTGCCCAACTCTCACGCCTACGCCACTGCTTCCATCTCAGAGCTACTTGCACGCTTATCCACGCACTCCRAGACACTCAGGAGAGCGTTCCAAAGGAACGCGTCCCAACACTCCCGAGTTTTCCTCTCTGCAGCTTGCTACCTTGCTCCCCCAGGAGGCAGCCTGCGACRGGACAGGTCACAGAGAGCAATGGACGGGCAGCACAGGCACGGGACAGCTCTGGAGATACAACAGGGGTGCAGAGAAGCACGTCTGCACCAACACGCGAGTTGGGCAAACTTCAGGCTCTGCTTCACAGACATGCCACGCAGCTCCAAGGGAAGAGCTTAAGAGCTCATCCTAGCACCAGCTTAAACTACCTAGCAGACCTTCTGAAGGATCTTGAGGGGAATCAGGCTCTGCCTTCAATGAGAGGGAAACAAAAAAGAGAGGCAGGTATTGTTGGTATCGAGACAGCTATCCTGATAAAAACTGAGAGACATGTAACTGTGGCACCGAGGTCCTTGGCGGGAAGGAGCACYTACTTCCGTAGGGATCTGTGCCGTTACGGACACTGGGAAATGGCCACACCACGGGGAAACACCCGCACGCTAACTCGCCAACAGGAGCTGCCTGCTGTTCCCGGGCCTTTCAGAAACAGTGGCCTCATGTTTCTGACATTGGCGCGGCAGCTTCTTCCACCAAGAACACATTCAGCGCCGTAAACAGAAGGGATCTTGCAGGGGTGAAGAGAGAAAACAGACAAACAAACAAACACAACAACAAAAAAAAMCCCAAAAACTTTATTTTTGGCCAGTGTGGATGGAAAATGTTAAAATGCATGGAAATGTGACCACTGAGGACAAGTTATTTTTACCTCACGACAAACGAGCACAACTCGCTCCCGCTGCAACAAAAGCGGCGCGCAAGGAGGGAAGGGACATTCGGGCTTGGGCCCCCGCTCCCAAGGGATATTCCCAAGGCAGAGGGCGGCTGTCGCCAGCGAGGCCRAGCGGGAGGCACCTGCCCCGCCACGGGGTCCATCTGTGCCTCGCGTCYGCTCTTTCCGAGCGGATCGTGTCCAAAGCACCTCCTGCCGGAGCGCCGGGGGAGCAGGGAGCCGCATGCCCGGAGAGCCCGTGGAAGAGCCTCAAGGAGCCCTATGATTTTCAGAATGGCCCCTGCGCTTCAAAGTAGCACAAAAACGCACAAGACAAAATGATCCAAGGCTCATTTTAGACCTTTGTTCTAATGTAAGAAAGCCTCRAACTGCCAACTGGGTCAGCTCCCACTGCTGCGCTCGGTGCAGTGCAAACTCCTAATTGATTTAMGCTCCTTTAACCCCCAAAAGACACGGCACAAGCAGTTGATCTGAGAACAGGTAGGAAGGGTGGAGAGAGCCACGTTAGAGCAAGAAGAGGATGCCACGGAGCAAAGAGCGCCACTGGCGCAGCTCCTGTCAGTGCTGCAACACAAGAGCAGCACAACACAAAGGAAAAAAAAATCACTTTTCAATGTATTACTTCTTAAATTGCATTTGCTCTCAGGGTGGTATTTAGTTAGCTCTGAAGTATCAGCAGATCCTAGCAGTGCATTTTAAGCCTCCAAAACCATTCGCAAAGGCAACGGCGGGAAGCGCGTGAGCCGCCCCCAGCGCAAGTCGCTCCGTCCTGCAGCCCGCGGGAGCAGCCGAGGCCCCTCCGGGCGCCAGCGCTGCCATGTGCCCCARC